ACCGTTATTTGCTATATGATTTGACTAGTCGAATTTTAAGCACCTTCGGTGCTTAAATCGACCAATCAAATAGCATATAGCAAATAACTATTAATTGTTTAGCCCAAGATTGAATTGGCCAATTTGATACAGTTAAAAGACTAATTTTTTATTGCTAAAAATTTATAGTTTAATAGTAAAGTCAGTTTTTTGAGATCAACGGTAGCATTGCATAAAATATTCTCTAAAGTTAGTATTCGATTGTAGATTAAACACTGGATTAATTCATGAACAATGCCCGAGAATAAAATTATATTTCATTTATTACTTATATATGTTATATCTCTACATAAGGTATCTGGTTCCTTACACAGTACCTGCTGGTACTATTCAATTGTAGTGCTAAGTGGTAATTAATGTATAACTTAACAATTTACAATTTATACAGTATAATCGAAGTACATATGTACTATATGCTAAAACATATTGTATAAGCTATAAAATCAAATTATAAATATAATTAAATACGAAGTTATGTAGTAATATTTTATAATAATTTTAATATTATTTGCGTATTGTTGCTTTATTCAACACTACATCTGATATAAGGCTTGCATAAAGTTGGTCATCCAATTTTTTCAGTATATGTCAGAGAGGTTAATAAATCTTTGCAGACTTAAAACCAGGCAACGGTTGTATTAATTTATTGATTTATTTGCAATTGCACTTGCTCGTCACATCACTTTAACCTTTGCTTCCTCTTTGTCACCTCCTTTACAATATCTCCTCCATTACTTAATTAGCAGATTACATATCCTTACTTAAGATACAAGTTTACTGCAAGAAAATCAAAGTTTAAGTTTGATCCCTAGGATTGAACCTCCAATTTATTGAATTTTGATCACATGAAATTATATCATTTGTCTTACATCACACTGCAATAAACTTTAAATTACTAATATAATTAGTAATAAACTTTTTACATATATTATAGTATTATACAACCTTATCGCTATACATAATTATGTTAAAGTTTACTCTAGCAGATTGTTTCACGGTTCCATGGGGGACTGCGGAACTACGTGCAACCAATCATATCTAGACAGTACATGCAAAATGCATTAATGAAAATTTATAATCCTTTCAAATACTTGCAAAAGTTATAAAATCATAACTTTGTTTCTAAATATTTGATTTTATGTTAACTCCAATAATAGCATTATAAGAAACTTTGAATAGAGCCAATAAATACATTACAAGAAGCTTTGAATAGAGCCAATAAACAATATTTCCATCATGATTATAATTTTGTTATGATTAATATTCAAAAAAAAAATCCTATTATGATTATTCTGAGATTCTACTATTGCTTATAAGTATGTTATTATGAGTTGCATTTAGATTGTCACTATATGATATAACCATTGAAACATTTTTTAATAATTCTGTATATTGTTGACGGGTGCTTCCACGTAAACGATATTGCTGATATTGGAATCGTTCAAGTTGATTATGAGATAACTTTTTCAACATATTAATTAATTCAGGTAAGGGCACCGTATGACCAAGCAGACGTTTTAAATGAGCATTACTAGCTTCTGAGCATTGTGTCGTTCTAATACCATAGTTAATATTTTTATTGGTATAACAGTATGCCCACATATGAGAAATAGACTTCCATTGTTCCATGTAACTATTAACTTCAGAATATTCTTTTAACAGACGATCCCAGCGAATAGTAAATTGATCTTCAACAGTTTCTGTTATAACTAATTTAAAATCCTTACTGAATGCTAAAAATTTATTACTAAGCTTGCTAGTTAAATTCTTAACAATGTTTTGTTCTATGTGCCAGGTACAAAGTTGATGCTTAACATGTGGAAGTTCAGTTCTAATTGCAGAAAGTACAGCAAGATCTCTATCAGTTAAAATTATTCACACCCTGTTAATAATATTATCGGCTACTACTTTTTTTAGTTGATGAAGTATCTAGCTATAAGTCAGAGTAGTTTCATCAGCAAGAAGCCCACTTGCTATAAGAAATATAATTCCCATTGCATCAACCCCACTAATAAGTAAAAGTGGCATTCCGAAATGATAGTTTTATAAGTAGCATCCATCAATATGATCTCTGGATAACATTTAAATGTTGTAAGCGCAGATTGAGTAGCAAAAAATAAGCAGTGAAGCTTATTATCATTAACTGAATAAGTGATTTTATATTCACTATTGTTATGTAAATAGGTTAAAAGTTCAGATATTTGTAACAAGCTCTTAATACAGTCACGTGAACGAGGATTTAAAGAATTGTAAATATCTTTGTTGTGAATATATCTACTATACTGTTCACTTAACATCCTAATAATTGTTGGAACTGGTACATCACTATTAAATAGTATATTTACTTGATCCTTTTCATTATGACTTAATTTGCAATATCCAGGATTAAATGAAGTTACTGCAATATCCATAGGATAGTTATGTTCAAGATTAGCAGATCTCACATGATATTCATTATTAATCCAACGAACTACTATTTTAAATGGACAACCAATTGCAATGCTCTTTGTAGTTCTCAATCCAGTACTTGTTTTTTTTGCAATACCAGCATGACGACAAACAATATCTGCTCTAATAATGATGCCTAGGCTTTTCTCTGAACGGTCTAATCTTATTGCAAAACCTTGTGATATAGCATAAGCTTTAATGTATTGTTCAATATCGCACCAACTAGTAAAAGTTTTTCCAACTTCAATTGATAGTACTAAATTGTTATTAAGTGAAAATGCTTCTTGAAATACATCATTAATATCAAGATTTGAATCAAGACTATCGTCAGAATCGACAATTATGCTTATGTCAATATTATTATTATGATGATTGTAAAGTTTATTTGTATTATTGTCAAGTTTGATAATATTAAGCGTATTATTATAGATTGTATCAGAATTTGAACATGGTAAAGAGCCCATTATTAGATTAAAATTATTTGTATAAAAACAAGTTTCAAAATTTCATGACAATCACGTTTAAAAATATATTTATTCATTATATTTAAACTCTGTTCTAAATTTGGTACATATTAATTAAAGAATTTGTTGAATTTAAACTTCTATATACACTGCTTAAAAGGTTTGTCATATTTAGATCTCTATATATATTGCTTGAAAGGTTTGTCATATTAAACTCTTAGTATATATTACTTAAAAGATTTGTCGCATTTAAACAGTTTTTATATACTTTAGCATACATTACTTTAAATATTATTCTATTTAAACTCTTAGTATCTATTACTTAAAATAACTTAAAATATTACATTTAAACTTAATGCATGTACATGCTTATAAAATTCATTATATTTATTCAAATTGAAGTACAAAAATTTAGTGTATACATATGTACTTAAAATATTCATCAGATTTAAACTTAATATAGATTTAGTATATACAAATTACAGTACGTACATATTTGTTATACTTTAAAGAAATATCTGTATTTACATGAGATAAAAATAGGTTCATCAAAGTTTCGTAATATTTTAGTAAAATACTCTACTTGTTTTTGAAATGTTGGTATAGCTAAATTGATAATCATGATAAGGTGTATAATCTAAACAAATACTGTACTATGTATACTATAATAGAATTGGAGTATGTGGTGCAAGAAAATGCTCATAAACTGGTCCTGTAAAACATTGGAAGTGAATTATCGACCTCTATAAAGTGAAGGATCTAGAACTTACAATTCTTCAAATAAAATAATATACACGAACAATGTGTACTCAATTGCAACTATTTTATACATATTGCTGAAACTTTAAAATAAGCCGCTGCTAAATTTAGCATATCTTCAATGAGTTACGTATTTGGTTTTATCTATATAAGGTAATTGAGATTTTAGATTGCACTGTACGTACGTACGTACGATTTGATATTGTAATAGGTACAGTACTAAAGTAGATATATTAGTTTTACAAAAAAATTATTGATGCGATTGTATAATTTTATTGGCTCTTGAAGTAATACAAATTACGTAGTCGCATCATGGTCGCATACAATTTTTTACTAATTTGATTGGTTGTCAGGTTGCGCTAGTTACATGATTGATGCCACAGTGGCTTGATATCACGTGACAGATGATTTCACCCAGGTGAAAATAGAAATTCCCTTAAAATTATTATATAATCTCATTCTAAACTCTTGTATAAGAACATGTCCTGTGACTGTTAAGCAAAAAAAGTTTTATATAGAAAAACTAAAAATTTTAATATTAGTACATAGAAAACTTTTTTTTTTTTTGCAACTATTGGCAGACTCACCAGTATCTTTATTAGATCAAAGCATATATATACATATAATTAACTATCTAAGTTACAGATCCGACATCTCTTGGCTGCCCCAAAGGGTACCCAAGAGCGGTTTGCCACACCAGATAAGGCTTTTGTCCGCACCAGAAGGCTATACCAAGCTAGCTATTGAAACTATACCAGAATAGTTTCACTCTATTTTTATAGAAATTTTTAACTGACGATAACCAAGATTTCTTCTTTTTTTGTTTTTCCTTCTCTTTAATATTATTTGTTTTTTTCTTTTTGACCTTTCCCCTAGTTTGGTCTTGGTTTGAGATAAACTCCTCTAAAAATTCTTGTGTCTGTTCTGTGTTGAGTCTTGGTTTTTTTGTTTTTGGTTTCTTCTTCCTCTTCAGTTTTGTATCAATTTCTTCTTTCTTTTCCTACTCGTTAACTGCCAGGCATCTTCGCTTCTATATATTCTCATAAAAGAAATTCTATGTCAGGCTTACCACGGATTCAGGATAATTCTTTGCTTCTTTTAAAGGTTTTATAGTATCAAGGATCTTTCTGAAAGTCTTCTCCTGAATTAGGCCTTTAAGAATGCTATTTCTTGTTCTGCTTTTTTCTTCTTTCGATGAACCCAAAACAAGATCTTAAGATTTACTTTGTCGAGTTGATCTCTTGTTTCTCTTAAAGATTCACCCAGGCTATATTTGTTACAACTTGTTCAGTTTCCACCTATTTTTCTTCATATTTCTTGTATTTGACCAGATGATCTTGGTCTTTTCTTCATTTTTTCCACACAATATACAAAAAAAATTTTCATATAGGTTCGGTCTTCTACTGATTAGAGTCTTAAGGACTAGCAGTTTCTCATAAAGGCATTTGACCAAAATACCGAAACGCTTTTTTTTTTGAGCTTGTACATTTGATTCCAGATTGGCTTTTAATTTTTCTCTAGAGAATAGGCCAATATTATACATTTGTTGTGTCTTCTAGTTTTTCTTTTTGTATTACTGATGTTGATCTCCAATCTATACCTATTTGAAAATCAAGAATGGTTTGTACGAATTGTCTAGTAGAACCTTCTATTGGTAGACTTTTCTAGCACATAGAGATATTCAATTCTTGAGGGGGTTTTTCTATAATACTATCTCTATCTTCTATTTTGGCTCCTTGTTTTGCTAATCTATCTGCTAAATTATTCCATCTATTTTCACCATGATCTCTAACCTTTACTAATTCTAATTAAATGCTTTTCATTCTAATTATATCAACTATATTATCTATTAAATTATGATTTTTTCGCTCAAGATCTGTCGTATTCTCCTTTTCTTCTTTCTTTCTTCTATATCTTCTATCGCTAAAGTACTGTCTGAATAAATTTTTGCTTTCTTTTCTCTTGGTATAATAGGAAGTGCACACCAAATTCCGAGTAGTTCTGCTTTTGTTGAGGATGAACAATTTCTTGCTCTAAAACAGCCCTTATCCAACACTTCGTTTTCATCTTCGTTTACTCGTACCTAGCCAACTCTTATTTTAGCTATTTTAGTTTGAGCTGAACTGTTCTTGTATCTTAGAGATCTATCTATGTAGAATATCACCAGATGCTGGAAGTTCTTTTTCGCTGCTATATTTCTTCTGATGAAGTCTTCTTGCATTTTTAGACTGATATGCTGGTTTTTAATAATTTTTGTATCTAGATCAAAGATACATATTTCTTGTACTTCTCTTTCGTCTGCTAGAAGCTCGAGTACTAAGAGACCTTGTGCTGATATAAGAGCTTCTTGATTAACTTTAAGAGTGCTTTCTTGTTTGTTTACAAGTCTTGAGATAGAGCCAATTATTTCACTATT